GGGGGGGGGGGGGAGGAATGCTATTGATATTTCAAACCAACGGGTTAACTAGGTATTTGCCTACTTGTTGAACAAGAATACGCGTACTTTTAAATATACGCAGGAACACTGTTTCTACTGAAATAAAAACAGTCCTAAAGCCTTCCAATAAGAACATCCCTTTCTTGACAACATCAATAGGCACCATAGCAGTCTTGCAGAACTAGTCAGATTTTAACGTATTTCATAATGGCGCTCATATTTTGCGAACGCGTTACAATAAAAAAGATTTTAATGGGTTGAAGGGTGGCACAGAAGAAAGCCAAAAATGAAAAGTAAACAAAATGCGCACTCAAAGCGACATTCAGCGAAACTAACAATATGAAAAACGAAACTCACATAAAATTCAGGTGTGTTGAAATACGAATTTGGCAACCAGGCACATCCAAACTGATTTATGGCCGTATAGATGCAACCCCCAATAAAACGGCGAATGGCAACATCATATCTATAAGAAATGATTTAAGAAATTTAACCAATAAGACATGGGACTGTGGCAAGTTTACGGCCAATGCTTACGCTGAGGCTCGAGGTCGCCGTTTCTCGTCCAGCCAATCACCTCTGACCACTGATCGAAACCTGCTTAGTGTAAACTGAGGTCCAGCAAAGGTTCCCGTGTAGAAAAGAGCGAAAGCAGCAACTTCGAGCAATCCAGGCGCATCCTGGATGGCTGTTTTCTTTTGATCTGGCTTGAGTTTATCCTAAAGTACGCTACTGCACCATCCATGATGTTTACAGAGAACTTGAAAAGCGATCCCTTACCATGTGTTCTCCATCATAGACATCCATCACTAGGCCTATGAGTCTCAGCGTTAGCACACAAAATGGCGTTGTCCAATTGATATCGTAGCCATCCGATTCCTCAAACCAATATGCCACAAGGAGGTAACCCTGAAAACATACTTTAAGACTGCAGTAAGAGCATTCTCGTTTCAGTCAGAAAAGGGTAGTTATTAACATTTTGTAGGCAAACTTCCAGCACTAACTCAATATATGTTTTCCTAGCTTGTCAAGATAAGTCGATAATTTTGCAGTTCAAGTAAATAAACTTACTAAAAAAACAGCATGTGCAGCAACAATCTTTTCGACCCTGCCCTTCATGAAATTAGTTATGAGGTAAGCGAATATGATTGCGATCAAAGTGTGTATAACATCAGAGCCTATAACGAGATAAATTATAGTTATTTCATTAGGATATCAATCACTAAAAGAGTTGCACTTGACTAGTTAGTAGCCAGGAGTACTGTAGCTAAGCAAACATCGTTTTTGCGTTTTCTAATCACGTTCTATCAGAACTGACTAGGGCGCGCGCCCGAACGGTTTATGTGACGCAACAAACACATTTTTCTACGCCTGGTCACTACAAATAGAATCTTGTGTTTTGAGATGCTGACAAGATTACAGTTTAGTACTAGATACATCTCTATATGTGGTCCATCATTCAGGAAAAAGAATTGAACTAAATTTTCACTCATCTATTATACCATAAGGATGTGAAAGTAAACTTAGATGGTAGGTGAGCGAGATTAGGCTTAAGGCAAGCAGAAATTTCACCTCCAAAATGAAAAGTACCGTGAAGAGGAAATTTGATACGTGCATTTCATATTAGGAAATACAATAACGCATTGCCTATGATTGAGAAAAAGTCGTAGAAGAAAACGAGAAGCGGGGAATTCAAATTTCCCTACTTCAATGAGCTATAGTTTGAAAAAACCGAAGAGGCGATGCTCGGCCGTTGCAACAAAAATGGTAACAACTGATAGATTAATTAATAAGTAGAAGGAACTTATCTTTTGAAGCATTGTAAAGATAAATCAAACTTTAGCAGAACTTCTAAAGAAACAACAAAAACAATCTTAAATGGTATTCGCTTCGCAGCTGATTTTTTATGACATTCTCTAACACTAAGTTACTTGTTCACGGTCACTGCATAAAAAACTATAAACATGCGATACAAAGCCGCGATTGAAGTAGACGGAAAAGGGTAGCAAGTAGACTTACCACAATTGAAAATGTGCAATATTAATCCGGCAACTACAAAGAATGCATATTGTATGTGTGCTGGTTTGTAGACTATGATGTTTCGATGAATAAAAGCAAGCGGATAACCTAAATTGAAAATGATTCAAATCTTTGGCTAAATGATGCCATCAGAAGCACTG